GTTTTCTCTAGTCTGCTCTTCACGAGCTTTGGTTAGACGTCGAAGTATTATTGAAGCTAATATTTTAGACACTATATTAGTCAAACTAATTCCTCTGTGATTGTCACAAGAGGACTTTTGTCCTTTCTTATAGACTGGCACAATCAGTGATTGAGACCAGTCAGATGGGATTACGTCCAGTTCCCAAATTCTACCTAAGACCTCAGTCAATCTTGCTGCTAATACTGGACCGCCATCCTTAAAAATCTCAGGGGTAAACCTGTCAGGGCCTGCTGCTCTCCCACGCTTCAGATTTCCTATAGCTTTTTCAACTTCGTAAAGAGTCGGAGGACTTACATCAACTTGCCATTCAGGTCGACTGGAGATCGTGGGAAACCGAAGTGTGGCTGAAAGCCAGTTGAACTGATCCCTAAAGTGTTCTGCTCATCGATCCAATCTCCTGGATTGAGAATGAATAATATGTCCATCTTTCTCTGAGATTGTTTCGCTAACAGTTGGGTTCCTAATACCGGTTTCCTTAACAAGTCTGAACAGTTGCCTGCTGTTACCTATTGCCGCTGCCTTTTCCATCTCTCTTGCTTTCGCTACCCACCACTGTTCACGATCTTTGCGTAGGCTTCTAGTCAGCTTACGCTTTAGCTGACTCCGCTCTTCGTTATGTTCAGAGCCAGATGGAATGAGTTTTCGAGCATCTATCAGTGCGGTAGACGCTGCTGAGATCCAGTGTTTCTCCCTAACCTTATGATTTACCGTACTTGCTGACATCACTGCTGTTTCTACAACTTTTCGGATGTCATTCCACGCTGCCTCGGGGTGGACATCACTTATATGGCTGCCTAACTGTTTTTCTAGTTGTTCCTGAAATATACTCTTAGCTTGACTGTCATTAAGTAGGACCCTAAGGGGTTTCCTTGTACCATCTTTCCTACGTCCAGTAAGACATAGACAAATACGCGCTTACACTAGAGCATGATGTGAGTCTAAGCATGTGCTACAGAATGAGCGACAGTCTTCTATTGATCCCCTCCATCGGTGGCTGATAGCAATGTGATCTATTTGGGTCCAACGTTGGGACGAATTAGGGGGTCACCATGTCAAAAGATGTTTTTCTTTATCCTTAAAGTTAGTGTTTGCAAGTAACAGGCGGTTATCTGAGCATAGCTGCAACAGATGGTAGCAGCTACGGTCGGGCACTAAACTAGAAAAAATATTCCTAGCTATTTTACCTGTTATTTCACACCAAACCAAAGGAACTCTTCACTAATTTTGTTTACTCACTACTTACATTTCCTTTCCCTACATACGGAGTCCTAATGGGCGAGACTATAATTTATGGACAAACCAATCAGATTTACGATGACAGATTTTAGATTTTGGCGCGAAACTCATTCACCTATTCGGCTAAATAGCGTCTAGGTATTATAGCTGATGTCAGTTCGTGATGAAAACCCTAAATCTAATTCCTAACCCTAACCATCAACTGTAAATCATAATCCTTATTCTTTAAACTGCTTTATAACCCTCATTTAGCCCTAGTAAGTAGGTAAACACTACAAAGGTAGTCCATAAATTATAGTCTCACCGCGATAACCATTTTGACTTCTTTAGTATTCGTCTCGTGGTAATGTGATGTGGCTAACCAACATTAGTGCCAGACTACATTGCTTACGATTGACTGGCTACTATTTCAATAACCATATTTTGGAAATAAAGCTTCACATTCATTATTATATTAGTAAAAATCTGAACTGTAGAATACGAAACAAGAATGATTAGATGATGAGGGTCACTTGGAAAAAGACGTGACAGAAAACAGAGAACACTTAGTTTACCTAGATAAAATCTAATGAGGGAATAAAGGTAATACTTCCTAGCAAAACGCGATATGCATTTCAGCAACAATTGACCCATATATTGCCTATCGCAAGTGCACTAGAAGTGAGTTTTTCTTGTGCTTCATTGGGGAAACTTGACTCTAAATTCACACTTCAGTCTCTGCCTAAACTTACATCGAATAGCCTAGTTTCCTCCTAAACATTGTCTACGTCGACACTATCTGCCGAGGGAGACTAACTTACGACACAGTTTGACTGGGTTGGAAGTTTGATTTCCAAGTGATAAACCATCTATTTGCAAATATTTAAACAGTAGTTTGACAAAATATCAACAATAGTACATTGATGCAAGTTTAGACGGGAATTGGAGTGTAAATTTAGAGATATATCTTGAATGAGATATAGGAAAAGATTCACTATTTCTCCCAGTTCAAGTGTAAAAGACATCTGTATATACATAGAGTAAGTGAATTGTATATTCATCATAGGTATATAGCAAAAATACTAACTTATTGCATCATTTATTGAAATACTAGAAGTCAGTCAAAATTTAGAGTTGCGTAATAGTCAGCGGGTAATAAGAATGAAGTAACATATAGGAACGAGATATGGAAGATTGACAATTATAAGAAAGATAAAAAAAATTTGAGAGAACAGAATATGATATAGAAGAGAGATGGGACAAATATTCGTCCAGTTAAAGAACAAAGGGAGATGAGGAAGCAAAAACAAATATATGTCAAAAAATAACTAACGAAATATAAAGGACTGTTAGGAGAATGTTACACTAGGAATTTTAATGTACATAGGCTGGACTTGAATTAATGAATCACCAAAGACTGTACTATTCACAAGCTTCCTATCCGATTTTCTTCGAACCAGTTCGTTTGACTTTGTGAACAATTTTGAATGATAATTTTGATGAAGACAGATAGCCAGAATTGACTAGATTTTTAACAATTGAGATATTGACTGATTCGCATTCACCTTCCGATAGCTATACTGAATGGCTAATATAACAACCACCAAAAGAGCAAGGCAACTGGTGGATACACATTGAGGTAACCCGAAATACCAGTTTATTCTTGCTACATCCTTGCACGATATATCTGCTGTTGAATACAATTCATAGTTCAGGTGAATAAAAGTTTTTCTTTAAAGACTTGGCCAATTGGTTTCGTGAGTTCTTTCAGTTTATATCTCCCTTGAACTCAGTGTTTATAAACAAAATTTTCTTCGGTACGGCAGAGATCCTTTCAGTCGAGCACTGTTGTCAATAAACCTAGAAGGGAATCTACTTTCCATAAGTATTTTCAGATAATGTCTAATTTCACACCAATTGAGTCTTCTGGATATATTCTTCTAACTCTCAAATACAGAGGATGCATCAGATTTCTCTTTCTAGTCAGTGGAATTTAACTTTGAAATTTCGTATATTCCCCATTCCATGTTGGCTTCCTATCAATCAATCTTTGTAAAGAGCCGCTTCATCTTCCTCTGAGTAAAACATTGAGAAAGTGAAATATATTTCATTTGTCTCTGACTCTAGTTTGAATGTAATCAACTAGTGAGTCAAATTGATGTCGTATCTTGTTTCATTTATATCATTAGTTTCATTACAGATAATAGAAGTATTATTATGAAATCACTTGTAGAAATGAGAACTGTTAGCTGTTAATCAAAAAGTATTGTTCTATAGATTAGCCATGAGACAGTTCGTTAAGATAAGACCTAGTAGGGACCGCATTAGCAAATATATCAGTTTATCTATAGAAATCATCGCTGAAAATGAAATGGATATTGAAGATGCAGTGTGAAAGTAATTCTTTGAGATAATGTATTGAAATATCAGTATCGATGTTGTTATTTTCAACATAATTATAAATAAAATAAACTATCACTACGACAGGCACACTTGTGAAAAGAGAACAGACATCCGAAGAAATCATTCCCTTCCTAGAAACACTGGTGTCAATTACGGAATCAATAATTGCAAGAGAGTCAATGAAGTTATTTTTAATGATCGTATTTCTGACTGGTTGGAGAATATTCATGAACCATTTCGCAATTGGATGATATAGTAAGTTGTTCATACCTATTATAGAGCAGAAAATCATCTTCCGTATTTTCAGGAGTCAGTGGAGTCTAACGTCACTAAATGTTCAAACAAATCATTAATGATGATTAATTCATCGTTCTCAAGACTTTTGTCGACTTCTGTTCAGCTTGATCAGTCGTATCATTTTTAGCAGTTTGTTTAGAGAATTTGTTTACATCTATTATTAGATAGGATAATTTATGAATATAATTTCTTTAATCTATGATGACGATTCTGGCACATTTAACTTGATGAAGCGCTACTAAATCCTTACTTCTTAAAAGGTTATTTAGTTGTATTGTCTCACAGCACATTTTGTACCAATGTATTAGTGGCAAAAATTAACAACGTCTAACTTGACTTGTTCTAAATTCTTTTCAGAAACTGCGATTATATTGGATGCTTGTTTGGTAAAGTATTCGATTTGTCTTTTTGTTTAAATTTTTATCAATACTTATGGATATTATTGAGTTTTATTGAAATCACAAACCGATAGTTGAATAATATCATGGATTGATTAAAGTTAGATAAGCGTACCACTGAAACCCAGCTCAGTGGTCTAATGATCAGGGATTCGAGAGCGAAACGCACGGTCCTGGCTTCGATTCCGGGTTCCGGGGGGGCACAGAAGAATACTATTGAAGAGTCCCATAGTAAGTATATGTATATAATTATTAGTTGACTTATGTCAAATATTTTACCTTGACTAAATTAATATGAATTCACTCTACAAACATTCTTCACTTTTATAAGATGTATGGCCTAGAAGATATGTAAAGATAGAGATATGTAGTCATTGGTGCATTGTAGTCACAAATTCATCCAGATAACACTGAGCTTCAGAGTGAAGATTACGGTAGAGTAATCGAAGGTCGATCTAATTCCTTTATTGACATTATGATTGGTCAATGGGGTCAGAAGGAATAAGTGAACCAATAACATTCAAGATTTCAGGTCGTTAATAACGGTCAAAAACACGATTGGTTAAAGGGATAGTCATCGGTCTGATCAAGAGAGACCAAAAAAAAGTTTAATCGACTAGAAAATTTAGTGCGTCAAAACTAAACAATTAACAAAGTCTAATATTTATACTACCAACTGTTTATATTACATTAAATATACATACAAATATATTTTTGGATATTTTAAATCAAAATCACAATCATGCTTCATCGACCTACTCTCATGCCTGCATCAATGAAATCATCATCAAAATTCAACTTATCCACTAATTCAAAACATTCATCTCAATCAATTAAAATGGAAAGTCATCTAGATGATAACGGTGGTGAGACAGTTATTGTACGACCTACAAATCCAAATGAAGATCGTATGAAACAAGAAGATACAACATTTGATGATGTATTAAAGAAAGAACAAGAAGATTATGCAGAGCAAGATTACAATGGGAATGATGTAGACATGAATTCAAATGACTCTCATATGAAAAGTGAATCTCACATTCCAGTGTCGAATAGTAAATTGGATGAACCCACTGGAAATGGAACTGCAGTCACCGTAACCACAGATTCGGTTAAACCTATTGGAATTCTACCTCTGAATGATGCCATTCACAATTTACTCACATTTACACCACATGTTGCTCCCACCATACAAAATGTTCCACTTCAACCTATACTGTCGAGTAAAATGAATGGATCAGGAAGTGTGCAATTGCCGAATGTTGTTTCCAATGCATTGCCTACATTGTGGCTTCATTCTCCTGTTGTGAATTCAACGGGAATGAGTATGCCTAATGTGAATAGTGTGACAGATTTGACGAGTAATATTGTACAGAATAGTGCGGCTGCACTGAATCCACTTGTTGCTGCTGTGCTTGTGAATTGTGCCACAGTGAACATGATAAGTCAGCTAGCTGGATCTATGTGTACTCCGATGGTGAACAGCAGCATGATCGATGGTAATGTTAATTGTAGTAATGTGAACAATAATAGTACCCACACTAGTAGTGCTTGTAGTGTTAATAGTGGTAGTGTTGGTGTAGGTGTTGGTGTTGGTGGTGTCGGTGTTGGTGGTAGTGGTGGTAGTAGTAGTAGTAGTGGAGTCAACACTGTAATAATCCCTACAGCGTCATTACTTCCCAATTTGTTATCTGCGATTCCGTTGTCTACGTATATATCGGGATTAGGACTGAATACAAGTGGAGGTATAATTACTGCACCAAATAGTTTGTGTAATGTTGGCGTTACTAGTACAGTTGTCTCGTCTGCTGCAACTCTCAATACGAACAATAATAACAATAATAATATTGGTGGTATAATTGTGACACCATCGAATGTTGATAATATTATGGTTTCACTGTCATCTTGTAGAAATCAAGCTGAAAGCAATGATGTGATGTATAATACTGAAAGATCCGTTGTAAATAATTCATCTAATGAAATTATTAAGAATATTGAGAATAATAATGGTGATAATAATAGTGCAACAACTGTAAAATCCGAATCATTCCAGTCATATATGATAATTCCTGATTCCAGAACAATGTTTAGCACTAAGCCTACAAGAGAATTGAAGAAGTATCACTGTACATATCCAGGATGTGACAAATCGTATGCTAAACGATGTCAGTTGAATCAACATATATCAACGCATATGATTACTGATCCGATATCTTGTGATGTACCGAATTGTAATGTGAAATACTTTTCAGAGGAGGATTTAAAAAGACATAAATCATCTGAACATTCATCAGTCGATCAGGATTCGAGTCGTCAACATGCTTGTACAATTCCTGAATGCAGTAAATCCTATTCGGAGTTGAATAAAATCACGAAACATCCCGAAATAACTACTATTTCACCAGATGTGCTAACTAAATCAACGGAACCAGTGGAAACGAGAAATGCAATATCGATAGCACCGAATGTTAAGAAAAATCTCCCACCTATTGCACCAAAATCAACCTTATCTCTTCCCAAAAATTTGGTTTTTCGAAATGTTTGTACATATCTTGGATGTGGTAAATCTTATTCATCATTCAGCAAACTCAAGGTACATTTAAGATCGCATAAGTATGAAAGACATTACGTTTGTAGAAAACCTGGTTGTGGTGCTACATTTACTGAATTGTCTGGAATACGATCTCACAAACTATCCCACATATTCATCCATAAATGTTCCGGACGATTGGATCAATATCCCATCACTATGGTTAGTAATATATTCCGAACAAGTCTTGATACTTCTGAACCAATATTGAATACTCATGGTAGCTCTGAAATAACTACTATTTTACCAGATGTGTTACCTAAATCAACAAAACCAACTGAAATTACAAGTGAAATATCGATAGCACCGAATATCTATAAAAATCGCACTCTCCCACTCGTTGCACCAAAATCAAGTGCACCTCTTCTTAAACCGTCTATTCCCACGGTAAGTTGGGATTCCGCAATGAAATCACCTCATGTTTGTCCATTTAAAGAATGTGGTAAAGCATTCCTGAAACGAAATAAACTACATGAGCATGTATGTCGACATACAGGTATACGACCTTTTGTTTGTGACCAATGTAATGCATCATTCGTTCAAAGGTATGAATTACGTCGTCACAGTGTTATCCACCTTCGTGGTGCACAACCAAGAAGTTTATCACGTTTCCTCACAACTCCACAACAAACAAATGAAACACTTGAATCTATTGTCACAAACAGTCAAATTTCTGTCAGTACTACTCCCATTACTATTCCCAATACTGATACTATTACTACTACTCATACCACTTATACTACCACTACTACTACTACTACTACTACTAATAATAATAATAATAATAATAATAATACTATTCCCACTGTTGCTACGACAGTTTCTTCAACCAGTTTTATTTCAGATACTACAAATTCCACCATATCTACTGTCCCTGTTTCTATCAATACTCTTAAAGTTGAAGAAGAGTCACAACTCATCAAAATGGAAGAAATTACTGAACAATCAACAAGTTTGCAACCATGTGATACTGATGATCAGGTAACAGGCTGCATTGATAAATAATGTTATCCACTTTGAATTATTTAATTATGATTTTGACGATTATTTAATGTAAACGGAATGATTGGTAACATTTTTATACAAAAAATATGACCCACTATTAATTCTCTTTGACGATTTAGTAATAATGATTGTAGTTGACTCATTCATTTGTAGTGCTCTTCTTTTTTTACAAATGCCATTCATTCATTAACCAATTAACCATTTGTATGCTCACCAATAATTAGTAGTAGAATATGAACCATGAAATTTCGATAGATTTTATCATACCCAAATTAATAGCATATACTTTTTACACATAAACAAGTGAAGTAATCAGATATCATCTAATCAAACAGTAAGTTTCTCTATTGTTACATCGTTCTGTGTAGATCACACTGGTCGGTTTGTGAGATGCATATCAAATTTTATTCATACCAAATTGAGCTAGGAAATTGTACCGAAGTCCAGAGAAATAACGAGTAAATGGTTGTACATTCTTTCTTTCATAGCTTGAGGGTAACCGTAGGCTATGTGATACTTTACTGTCCTGTCCCTATATCATCATTCCTCCCCTCTCTCTTTTCTCTTGGATAATATGTGTATGTGTGTGAGTGAGAGAAACTAATAATAACGCACAAACACAATAGAATGAAGAAATCGATTTTGTCTAGCTGCCATAATCAGATAAACCAAACAGATCTGTTTAGAGGAAAGAGAAAGACAAAAATAGTGTGAAACATAAAGACGATAGACAGGAGAAATACATCATGCTGACGTGTTTACGTAATTGGCAGTTCGCAAACCGTGACTACATGTGCTAAGCACCAATGTTTGATTTTTCTGAAGAAATGAATGTGGTTTCCACATTCATCATCTGTTCAATACGAAACGTGCCTCCAAAATGGAATAAAGTATTGAAGGTATCTGTTCCAAACTATCAATATGTGTCATTCAATGAGAATGACACCAGTCTATCTCATGCAATTTACACTTGTGTATGCGATATTATTGGACGAATGTTGTATGGGTGGTGTGAGTGTGTTGTCATAACGACAGAATGTAAATTGTTCTCATTGAATGAATTGAATGAAAATGTGTTGTGCAACAGATAACGTGTAAGTAGTGTGACCCTAAATGCCCTGGAACGGCCAAGAGTGGGGAGAGTCCGCTCTCCCTCTCGAAATTCTCTCACGTGGCCATGCGTATATAGCCTCTGTCACGGAAGTCCTACTCACTGCTTTCGCGTGGCGAGGGTGTTGTCTACGAAAATGAGAGGACGAAAAGCGAATGTCCGGCGCTATAACCGGATCCCAAAACAATGGTGCACATGGGCTCTAGTATCCTGCGGGAACAAATGACGTATGAACCAATCGTTGGTCACCGACTACAATGGGACTGCATCTCCTTACGATGCTCCACTGCCTTGTGGATCAGATCTTTAGGTTGAAGGCTCGGGGTGTGGCCCCTGGTAAAACTACCTGCTTCGGTTCGGGCACCCGGGTAGTATCACAGCCCACACACAAATCAATTGAGATCTGTGTGGCGCATATGTATTTGATGCCTCCTTGTACCAATACCTATGTGTTAAAATAAATAATAAATAAATAAATAGTGTGGCCTGTTTGATGAAAATCACTTAGATCACACTAATGAATGTGTGTGACGAAGTCACCGATAATTGGTTTTTCAGAACCCCACGTACCTCACTCTTATCTCCTTCAAGATACTGCTGATCTGTGATAAGACATTTGTCCCAACTCAGTTTCCATTATTCTCAACATCACTGGAAGTCGTGAGAAATCAGACTCTCCAACTGTATCATTGTTCCATGTCCTTTCATAATCCTTGATGTTTTGCACGAATCGTGTGCACAGACGATCTCTCCGAACTCAGTTCATGAGCAATCACGTGAACGGCGAACCGACAATGGGCAAACACAGACAACCGTACACGTTCAGTGTTCTCATCAATAGCTGATGTCGATGGTTGTCCTGATGTTGTACCAATCACCCTTGTAGTTTTCTGACTCCTCACTAAAAATTTTTTCGATTAATCACTGGAATTTTCTTGTATCTACTGAGCTGACGACTCACATTTCTTCTCTTGTTCTTTTCTCTTCCAGAGTTCCACCCACACGTTACTCTACACACTCCTTCAGTCTAAACGTGAGACATTACAATCTTCATAAATAATCGTCAACATCTGATGGATTTCGTGAGAGTGTTTTCGAAGTTCCACTAAAATATTTGGTGGTTGATCCGGTGTAATTAATTATGAAACATTAAACAATGTACATTAAACAATTCGAAGTAAAACGAAATATAGTATAATATAATGTTTGAATGATCAGTTTTCTTATTCGTGTTGTATATCTGAACTAAATGTTCTCTCATTTAATGAAATTTTCAATTTTACTGCCGAATGAATTTGTATCCTTATTGGACATCACAGATAACATTTAACTCTAAAATTACATTTCTTAACATTATCCACCTACAGCTAACATAGATATTTCAATATTACATTATGTGGGTTCTGTTTGTACTGAACATCACAGTCGAATGTAACTTATTTACACAAAATAAATAATTTTTAATAATTAATTGTTTAGTTTTACAATTAGATGTTTTTGTTTTAGATCTTATTATTTATTTATTAATTTTATTTTAACACATAGATATTGTTATCAGAAGGGATTGTGTGGAGATTTTAGAAATTTCACTGGTTGAAATCATGAATCCATTGAAGCTAGACCACCATGAAAAACCTGGAAGCACTGGACGGCCGTTTCGTCCTATTATGGGACTCCTCAGCATTGCGCATCCACGGTCCCGCTCCTCGCGAGACTCGAACCCTGGACCTATCAGTCTCGCGCCAGGTGCTTAACCAACTAGACCACTGAGCCGGCATCCAGCGGTGTACACCATTGTCTTTAGTGAGCTGATATCTCACAACAGACCTGGTTGAACTCCACTGGTAACGGCTTCTCACTAGAACTTCAGGAGTATCTCTTGAAGTCAGAGATATTGGTACAAGGAGGCATCAAATACATATGCGCCACACAGATCTCAATTGATTTGTGTGTGGGCTGTGATACTACCCGGGTGCCCGAACCGAAGCAGGTAGTTTTACCAGGGGCCACACCCCGAGCCTTCAACCTAAAGATCTGATCCACAAGGCAGTGGAGCATCGTAAGGAGATGCAGTCCCATGGTAGTCGGTGACCAACGATTGGTTCATACGTCATTTGTTCCCGCAGGATACTAGAGCCCATGTGCACCATTGTTTTGGGATCCGGTTATAGCGCCGGACATTCGCTTTTCGTCCTCTCATTTTCGTAGACAACACCCTCGCCACGCGAAAGCAGTGAGTAGGACTTCCGTGACAGAGGCTATATACGCATGGCCAAGTGAGAGAATTTCGAGAGGGAGAGCGGACTCTCCCCACTCTTGGCCGTTCCAGGGCATTTGGGGGCATAAGTAGGATGTCGCTGCCAGGATTAGATTTTAACGTTAGTTTGACTTTTATGTCAGTAAGTACAATGAATGTCATTTATTGGAAGACCTTCACATCCATAGTCCTAGCTATAGAATGAACACTAACTATTCAATTGTATAGTTGATTTCGTGCGTTAATTGAAGCTAGACCACCATGAAAATCTTGGAAGCACTGGACAGCCATTTCATCGTAGTATGAGAGTTCAACCGTGTCTGTTGTGAGATAGTAATTCGCTGAAGACAATGGTGAACTGTGTCGCAATTTCGTGAATTAATTGGAGTTAGGCATTAACACCGTTTGATGTCGGCTTGCTCAATGGTCTAGAGGTTAAGCGCGAACCTAAGGACTGATAGGTCCTGGGTTCAAATCTCGCTAGTTGGAGTCGTGGGTGCGCACTGCTGAGGAGTCCCACAATGGGACGAAACGGCCGTCCAGTGCCTCCAGTTTTCCCACGAATTCAACTATAAAATTACTAAAATCTCCACAAAACCCCTTCTGATATTCCGTTGTGTATTATACTGAGCGAAAATCAATTATGTCACTTGAACCGAATTAGTTAGTAATATTAGGTCTATTATATGTCAGGTAATATTGGTTGATTTAGTTGGTTTATTTAAGATTTTGGTTGAATATAACTCAATCATGAATTGTAAATTCGTATACTTAGATTTACGATACAAATTTTGTCTATTTGAAGGCTACTAGACTGCCTAAATCGAAGGGGTTAGAAAGGGTGTCCTAATGGCTGAAAGTCGTATTCTTTATTCAATTAACTACTCCTTCATATTGAAGAATTGATTAAGACAGAGTAGACAGAAGGTAAAGAGTTTAATGTTTATTCACTTAATCGATGAAATAAAAAGTCCGCCTTAATATGGTTAATTCGCTTTATGATCGTTGAAATTATGCTGAATTAATTCGTTAGGTCAATGTGATTTAATTTGTTAAACAGCTTGAGTAAATCACCTTTGGTGCATTAATTATCATCAAACGTAGTTTTTTTTTTTCGAAAATACGATAATCTTTCCTCGTTTTTATAAAACATTAATGTGAAGTGATAATTTATTACTTGAAAATGATAGCAATTAAGCTTAGTCTTTCTCTGACTCTCTCTGTTGTTATATCTCAACGAAATATACTGTTCATCAAGCTTCAAAAGTTATGCTGGATAACATCACATATGATTAATTGTGTAACCATTATAACGGTAGTGTTACCTACAGTCCAAAACAGAAAAAGGTGATTTCCTATGGATAATTCTGTTGAGAATGAGGCTTAAAAATCTAATTCATATGGAAATGAAGCAACACACTAAATCGCTTTCTAGTTGCACCTGGTGCATTGTACTAATCCATATATTGTTTTTACCTTTAAAATACTGAAGCTCAAGCATACTATTCATTTGAGATAAGAGTATATCAACTGTCCTATTATCACGATGTTGTACTGCAGACTGCACAAAGGTGTGACGACAGTATGGTGTCTCTTTCAGACAACCAGCATAACAGCGATGCTGCCTTCCCACAAGGAAGTGTGGGGTTAGAAAAGCTCGACCCTAAAAATGCACATCTCGCCATATCCTACGGATTTCCGTCTCTGGCTGTAAGGTCCCAACAAGTACAAAGCTAACATGAAAACTACTCACAAAAAGTCATGTGTGACAGGCGTCAAGCAGTTGTCCCTTGGGCACTGCGGTCACGCTCTCAGGTCACTAAGACCGCCCCTAACCCGATTTCATTTTCAGGTACGTCCAGAAGAACCCTACCACGGTATCAGTAACCGGGAAGTGATAACTGGCCTCATACCTCTAATAGAACTCAAGATCTCTTTATTTACAATCAGTCTCTCTCTTCAATTCCTATTATTACCCTTACATCGACTTTCAACTCTAAACTTCCTTCTCAAGTGTAACCATAGCCAACGATCCTAGTGCGCAAAACACTGTCCCAGGTCTACTGAAACCTCACTCCAAGCTACACATTGGAAACTTCAACGTACGCACCCTACGTCAAATCGGCCAACAGGCCTCCTTGGCTAAAACACTAGAATCTCGTACCATTGATGTACGCTGTGTCTCCGAAATATACATACAGGATCTTAGTGTGGTCATTCACCTCGGCAAAACGGATAGCCGACGGGATACAACCTCCGTGTATCTGGTGTCCCGGTGACTAGTACTCGTGGACTGGCAGATGTAGGTACTGCACTAAGTACGAGGACAGAACATGAGCTATTAGAATGAATCCCCGTTAACAGTCGTTTATGTGCTGTCCGGCTCCGTAAGAACTCGGAAGGACAGGGACACATGCCGTTTCCTTTTCGTCGTTTCTGTCTACGCTCCCACTGACTGCAGCCCAGATGAAGTGAAAGATGACCTTTAAAGAAAGTTTTCCGAACTTCTTCATAAAGCTAAACGCTCAAACATAGTGCTCGTAGCAGGTGACGTTAATACCCAGATAGGTAGCTTAAACCAAACAGAAAGACATTCAGTTGGTTATTTTAGTATTCCGGCTTAGCGATCAGATAATGCAACTGTTCTCAGACAATCATTTATTTTTAGCAAGCACTAATTTTAAGCGTTAGAAGAGACATCTCTAACATGGCGACTCCCTGCATCAAACCAACGATGGACTCAAATAGACCATATTGCTATCAGTCATCGTTGGAGAGGGTCGATAGAAGATTGTCGCTCATTCAGGACTACCTGTTTGAACTCCAGCCATCTCGGGAAAAGTCGATACTTTTATCTGCTCACAGCTCAGACGTTTAGAACAGTAGGAGGAACACTTTAAGAAGCACTTCAGTTGGCCCTCATCTACTCTACAAGTACCCACTATTCCCAAACAATTTGAATAGAACATTGAAGTAGGCCCTCTGATTCTAATTGTACTACAAAAAGCTGTAGCTAATCTGAAACAAGGAAGGGCAACTGGTTCATATAGATTGGCTCCGGAGGTCTGTTAGTATGGTAGTCCAGTTTTAGAGATTAGGTTGACTAGTACTTTAGCCAAAATCTGAGAATGGGATGTGTTATGATGTTATGTCCGGCTTACGATCAGGTGACTTATCCACCAATCAGAATACGACTTATACAAATACTCGCACTATGACAAGACCAATGACGTTCAACTGGTCTGAGCAGTCTAGCGTCCTTATTGGGTTCTATGTCCTTCTAACCCGTCCTCTTGAGTTCAGAACACAACACCAGCTTCCGTAATATGAATCGAATCATTTATTTCAGACATACTCGATTTATATATCAATCAGGCAGACCACAACGTACCATAAAATAGAAAATAACATGTGTACACAAATAAGCCAAAAAGTGGCTGTGAACGCGGGAGACAGTAATTAATAAACTGAGCATAATTTAGGGACAAAGTGAAGCTTATGATAAGAGGAATATAAATATACATAATCTAACTATTGAATAGTTATACCGTAAGAAGATATAGATAATATTAGTCAATTTATGTCTCAGAAGTTACTCGTGATTTAATCTTCGCTCGGATATAACAGGATGTAATCCCATCTAACTGGTCACAATCACTGGTTGTCACAATATATATGAAGGGGTCAAGGTTATACTTTGATAACCATAGAGGGACTATAGGTATCATTACCTAGGTTTGACTTGATAATTTCGAATAATTTGAGTATTAGATGGATCGTTATAAATAAATTAATATATTTGTAATATTCCAATGAGTAGAAAAATTAAGTTTTCTGACGTTTCGTGACTCAGTGTGAGCCACTTCTTCAGAGAATATTAATATTCTTGTGTTGTCCGGTTGTACTATTTCAACTTGGATTAATTTTGGTTCGGTTATTCACACTCTGAAGAAGTGGCTCACACTGAGTCACGAAACGTCAGAAAATTTAATTTTTCTACTCATTGGGATATTACAATCATATTAATTTATTCATGATGGGATTAGTTTGACTAATATAGAATCTAAAATACTAGCCTCAATAATTATCGAGCACATAACTAAGACTCGTGAACTGCAAATACGAGAAAATCAGGCTGGCTTCAGACCTGGTTATGGCTGCATTGATCACATATTCACCATTCGTCAGGTTCTAGAACACAGACATACTTATCGGCATCCGACAATGGTGATCTTTCTTGGCTTAAAAGCAGCATTTGACTCTGTTGACCGAGAGGTTTTATGGAAGTGTCCGTCATTGAAAGGTGTACCTCAGAAGTTTCTCTCCATTTAAATGTAAATTGTTGCTTCAATACTGACCTACGTCAATACCTGGACTAAGAATAGAGAGTGAAGTAGTCGAATGCATCGACAACTTCACTTATCTTGGAAGTCTGATCAGCCGTAATGGGTTGTTGTCTGACAAAATCTTATCTAATCTGGTTTAAATTCCAGAAATTCAATTTCATCATTTCATTTTTGTGGAAAACATGAGTATTGGTAGTAAACAGAATTCGAATGGTTTTGGAAAATGTAACTTTATGACAGATTATTTGAAAAAACAAATGGTTTCTATTTCATTCTTGATGGGATCACGACTTTAGTGACTTAGTTTAATAAATCTTATTATCATTTAGTTAAACAAAATATTGTGCCATTAACTGTTAGTTTCACATGCTTTGTGACAATTTAAAATATTACAAGTTACTTCAACCTCACTCGTTAAACGTTTTTACTCATGTGTAAGTGAATGAAATTTAAGAATATCATTAACTTAATTACTTACTTACTCACTCCTGTTGTCCCTTGTGTAGCATAGGCTGCCGACCACGATTCCCCAACCTATTCTATTCCCTTACAGTTGTTCGTAAGTGCTGTTCATTCTTTTGATGTCTGCCTCTAATTTCTAAAGTAACATGTTCTTCGGTCTATCTCTTTCCCTTTCACATTCACAATTTCAAGTTAGGGCTTGTTTTGTGATTCAGTTTGATAATTTCCTCAATTTATGTCCTACTGACCTCCTGAATATTTTCCTAATTTCTTCTTCAACTCGAAGCTGGTTTGTTCTCTACCACAGTAGGTTGTTGCTGATAGTATCTGGCCAACAGATCTGAAGTATGTTTAGTAGACGGCTGTTTATAAATGCCTGTACCGTTTTGATGATTGTTGTAGTAGTTCTGGAAGTTTGAGCTGTGTACAACAAGACTGCCTCGACGTTCGTAGTGAAAATTGCGACTTCGATGTTGTCTGACAGTTGTTTGGAGTTTCAGATGTTCTTCAATTGTAGGAATGTTCTTTTTGCTTTATCAACCCGTGCCTTCATATTTGCATCAGATCATACTTATTCATCGACGATGCTGCTAACCAGGTACGTGAAACTCTCAACCTCTTCCAGGGCTTCTCCACCAAGTGTGATTAAGTTGGTGTTCTCCGTGTTGTATTTGGGGATCATGCTCTTCCGTTTATGTATATTGAGGCCTATTTCCTCAGAGGGTACTGACACACTTGCTGTTTTCACCGATATTTTTTTCTGTGTATGAAATAGAATAGCTAGGTGACCTGTGAAATAAAGACTGTTGAACTGAATCCAAGCTGTCCATCATATTCCGTCTTTCTCCTCATATGTGGAGGTCTTCATAGTCTAGTCGACCACCAGAAGGAAGACCGAGAGTAAGCAGCATTGTATGACACTAATATTCAAGTGAAATGCATCTGTGAGTTGCCGTTAATGCAAGACTTTGCAATTCAATCTATGGTAGGAGTTCCGTATGAAAATGACGGTCTTATTAGGCAATTCATAGTGTCGAATATGATACGATAAGGTTCTCTTATCCACGCTGTCAAATCCTTTCTCATAGTCAAGGATGTTGATATATATCGACCAGTTCCATTCATCTGACTGCTCAAAAATGATCCGTAGCATTGCAATTTGATCAGCACGTAGTCGATCCATACAAAAGTGAACCTACTGATCTCAAAGTTCGATGTCTAGTGAATCTTCCATTCGTTTCAACAGCACTCTGTTGAAAACTATTCCTGCTACCGATGGTAATGTGATGCCTTTGTAGTTCAGTTCTCACACTTGTTCAGATCTCTCTCCTTTGACATCCTGATGAGGTATTCTTCTCTCCAGACTGTCGGCAACTGTTCTTCCCCTCCAAATATTTGCGAAGGGAATTTGGAGCATCTTTACAGTTACCTCTTTTTCTGACTTCAGTGCTTCAGTTGGTATGTTATCTGGTTTTACTGCTTTGTCAATCTTGATTTGTCTGGTGACTTGCTGATTTCTTCGATTGTTGGTGGAGTACCGGCTATGAGAAGGTCTGTGTGTGCCGCTTAGATTTTCGGTGGGTCCAGTGGAACTAGCATATTCATGAGTTCTTCAGAGTGCTCTACTCATCTGCTGCTCTGCTACTGCAAGCCAGTGATTGTTCGGCCTCCTTTATTCTTGACTTGTAGATCTGAATTACTATATTTCTCTTCTGACCTCTTTGTTGTATCATGTAGCTGTCTCAAATTTCCTTGCAGCTTTCTCATCTGTTATTGTTAGGTTTTCCACATATTTCCGCTTATCAACCTCAATGCTCTTCTTTACTCTCTTGTTTGTTTCTGTATATTTGGACTGTGCCTAGGCTTTCTCTTCCGTTGTCCGCCTGTTGTTAATAGCTTACTGCTTTCTTTCTTGGATCTCTTCCAGGTTGTCAATAGAGTTCTAGTGTTTATAATGGTATTTGTGACTGCTCAGAACTTCCTAACATGTTGAAGTCAGTTTTTGAGTAATCTCTTTCCATATGTTCTCCATATTGATTTCCTATCGTTTTAAACGACCTTGTAGGGCTTGAAACTAATTTCTGAGATCCATCTTGAATTAACTGATCTGGTCGACATCATGAAAGAGGACGGTAGTATACTTTTGTAGTGCTTTTGTTTCAGTTGTTCGATGCTTCCTTAACTTCAGTTTCAGCTTAACTACCACCAGATGGTGATCAAAAGTAAAATATGCATCTGCCTCTCTCTATTATTATGTTTTCGATGGGCATCGACCTCGCGATTTCCGAAGAATCTTGGCTCTCATCATAAGGCATCATAATGATTCTGAATGAAGGCAATTCAACTCTCAGTGAGATGTTTAAATCGATTAAATATTTTTTTCTGGCCATCGTATTTTCGGGGGTGAGACAAATATCACCTACCAATGGCAATGGATGATGGCCTTGAAATGATGTGCATTGAGTAAAGAGTGATTTTTATTCCATTGGTTGTGAACTCAGTGGTCTGAAAGTCAGACAATCGATAAAATACAGACTAAAGTTTTAAACCTTGACCACTTGACATATCCTGAAAATGGGTGGCTGACAAAATCTAAAAATATATGGAATAAACAACCTCGAATTCCGCAAAATCATTACATCTGTTCAGCATTCTAGACATCTGTTCTTCTGTCAGTCAACAACTAAATATACTGAGCAACAATTCTGTCTGTATCCCTCTACGATTGTTAAACACCTCATTTCACAATAGAACACATCCGTGAGAATTAGTTATTTCACTATAGATGACTTCTAATCATTACTCATGTTTCGAAGAAATGTCAAGTTACGGATGTTGAGGTCAGATTCGGAATACATTGAAATGGTTGAAATGATAAACTGATCAAGAACACTTTAAAATCTCATCGACTTGTGTGAATGGGACATGTTTGTGCATGATTAACCACTGTCTACCCACACGTACAATATTAGTGAACATAGAATTTCAATCAATATTCGTGATGATTGGATCAAGGGATTATATCGAGATGACTGTCTCGTGGACTGACCTATGGACGCTACATATATACTTCCAAATTGGAATCTGTGAAATAATCGGAATTCCTGGTTGAAGATTTTCACGATCAAATCTACTATTATTAATCTCCAGTGTCGTGTCACATTCATTTGTTAGCATCATTTGAATTTCACGTGGAACCCTACACAAAACACAAATCACTGTTCCATCTTACTTGTTCCTTTTCATCACTGTTGATACTATTTCTCTTCTTATACTTCTCAAGTGTTTCATTTGTAATGCTGTCCAAATCAAAAACGTTTTAAAATCAAATATTTCACATATATTATAGTGTGTGTTATCTTTAAAACGAATAGAAACATTGCTCTTAAATAAGATATACATTATTCACCATCTAGTATACTTGTTCAAACTGTTGTTTAAGTATAAATTTCACTGGTTGAAATCATGAATCCATTGAAGCTAGACCACCATGGAAAACTTGGTCTACCTTCAATGGATTCATGATTTCAACCAGTGAAATTTCTAAAATCTCCACACAATCCCTTCTGATAATAAGTATAAATTGTTTAGTTGTTTATAGTTGTCCATAACTTTAAATATTTCGATATAGTAAAGAAATCAGTTGATGTTTCTTTATTTCATACATTAACAGTAGTGCAGTTCATTAAATATGCACACAATGCTCAACTTTCAACTACATATAACGTTGATGTGACAAGAAATTACAATTTCTCATTTATGGTGCATTATAATCACAAATCAAAAAAACTTTTGAGTTTTTTGAGTAAGAATGACAATACAATCATAGCAGGCAGATCTATTTGTTATATCGTCATTCGATTGGCCATGCTTAATTGAAAATGTTGCGTGAACCAATAATAATTAGGATTTCCGGTCAATATCCACCGCCATTCTAATGATTGGTTAATGAAACAGTTATCGGTCTGATCGGCATAAACGAAAATTATAACAAGTGAACTTTTACTGACTAGAGCTTCAAATGAATAGGCAATATGTGGGTTAGAGAATTCATTGATTTCTTTTGCGATTTCTGAACAGACCATTTCAAATATCGTGTTAATCAGAACATAAATTACTGTTCACCATTTGTAATCTCATTAAATTTATATGCAAACATATTTGTGGATATTTTAAATCAAAATCACAATCATGCTTCATCGACCTACTCTCATGCCTGCATCAATGAAATCATCATCAAAATTCAACTTATCCACTAATTCAAAACATTCATCTCAATCAATTAAAATGGAAAATCCAGAATTGATTCAACTACTTGACTGTGTTGGTGATGATGATGAAATAGTTATTGTAGAACCTACAGATCCAGATGAAGATCGTATGAAACAGGAAGATACAAAATTCGATGATGTATTAAAGAAAGAACAAGAAGATTATGCAGAGCAAGATTACAATGGGAATGATGTAGACATGAATTCAAATGACTCTCATATGAAAAGTGAATCTCACATTCCAGTGTCGAATAGTAAATTGGATGAACCCACTGGAAATGGAACTGCAGTCACCGTAACCACAGATTCGGTTAAACCTATTGGAATTCTACCTCTGAATGATGCCATTCACAATTTACTCACATTTACACCACATGTTGCTCCCACCATACAAAATGTTCCACTTCAACCTATACTGTCGAGTAAAATGAATGGATCAGGAAGTGTGCAATTGCCGAGTGTTGTTTCCAATGCATTGCCTACATTGTGGCTTCATTCTCCTGTTGTGAATTCAACGGGAATGAGTATGCCTAATGTGAATAGTGTGACAGATTTGACGAGTAATATTGTACAGAATAGTGCGACTGCACTGAATCCACTTGTTGCTGCTGTGCTTGTGAATTGTGCCACAGTGAACATGATAAGTCAGCTAGCTGGATCTATGTGTACTCCGATGGTGAACAGCAGCATGATCGATGGTAATGTTAATGGTAGTAATGTGAACAATAATAGTACCCACACTAGTAGTGCTTGTAGTGTTAATAGTGGTAGTGGTAGTGTTGGTGTTGGTGTTGGTGGTGTCGGTGTTGGTGTTGGTGGTAGTGGTGGTAGTAGTAGTGGAGTCAACACTGTAATAATCCCTACAGCGTCATTACTTCCCAATTTGTTATCTGCGATTCCGTTGTCTACGTATATATCGGGATTAGGACTGAATACAAGTGGAGGTATAATTACTGCACCAAATAGTTTGTGTAATGTTGGCGTTACTAGTACAGTTGTCTCGTCTGCTGCAACTCTCAATACGAACAATAATAACAATAATAATATTGGTGGTATAATTGTGACACCATCGAATGTTGATAATATTATGGTTTCACTGTCATCTTGTAGAAATCAAGCTGAAAGCAATAATGTGATGTATAATACTGAAAGATCCGTTGTAAATAATTCATCTAATGAAATTATCAAGAATATTGAGAATAATAATGGTGATAATAATAGTGCAACAACTGTAAAATCCGAATCATTCCAGTCATATATGATAATTCCTGATTCCAGAACAATGTTTAGTACTAAGCCTACAAGAGAATTGAGGAAGTATCACTGTACATATCCAGGATGTGACAAATCGTACGCTAGACGATGCCGATTGAATCAACATTTATTGACACATAGTGATACTGCTCCGATATCTTGTGATGTACCGAATTGTAATGTGAAATACTTTTCAGAGGAGGATTTAAAAAGACATAAATTATCTCAACATGCATCCGTTGACAAGGATCCGCGTCGTCGATATGCTTGTACTTTTTCTGAATGCAATCGATTCTTTCCAGATTTGAGTAAACTCAAGGAACATTTAAGAACTCATACTGGTGAAAGGCCCTACGTTTGTAGAAAATCTGGTTGTGGTGCTTCCTTCACTCGGTTACACAGTGTGAAACGTCATGAATTTACGCACGTACTTACACGTAAATTTAATGAACGACGTTCTTCATCAGCTGACACTGTAACTAATTGTACAAACCCGAATATTTCTGACACTTCTGGATTTTTACACACTAATTCTAAAATCACTTCACCGCCCAGATCGCCAATATCAAAAGAATCAACGGAAAGGAGAGATGTATTGTTGAATTCATCAAATATTCCAAAAAGTCGTATTCTCCCAACTATTGCACCTAAATCTACAGTTTCTCTTCCTAGTCCTCATAGAATTAGGAGGCAAGAAATAAGAATACATTTTGTTTGTCCATTTAAGGAATGTGGTATTGCATTCTTAAAATCAAGTAAACTTCGTGATCATATATATGTACATACAGGTGAACGACGATTTGTGTGTGATCAATGTAATGCATCATTCGTTCAAAGGTATGAATTACGTAGTCACAGTGTTATCCATCTTCGTGGTGCACAACCAAGAAGTTTATCACAACAAACAAATGAAACACTTGAATCTATTGTCACAAACAGTCAGATTTCTATCTCTACTGCTCCCATTACTACTCCCAATACTGATACTATTACTACTAATAATAATACTATTCCCACTGTTGCTACGACAGTTTCTTCAACCAGTTTTATTTCAGATACTACAAATTCCACCATATCTACTGTTCCTGTTTGTATCAATACTCTTAAAGTTGAAGAAGAGTCACAACTCATCAAAATGGAAGAAATTACTGAACAATCAACAAGTTTGCAACCATGTGATACTGATGATCAGGTAACAGACTGTATTGATAAATAATGTCACTCACCTTGAATCATCTGATTATGATTTTGACGATTATTTAATGTAAACGGAATGATCGGTAACATTTTTGTACAAAAAATATGACCCACTATTAATTCTCTTTGACGATTTAGTAATAATGATTGTAGTTGACTCATTAATTGGCCAGACTAAAATTTATGGACGAACCAATAAGACTTATGGTCGCAGTTCTTAAATTTATTTTCGAAATTCATTTATCCATGTGGCTTAAGGGAATTTCAGCACTATAACTGATATCAGTTCTTGATGAAAACTCTAAAATTAAATCCGAATCCTTATTCTCACATTAATATATGATCATCTTTTAACTCTAGTGAGCAGATGAACTTTCTCTAGTTCACTTTAGTGTCTTTGAAAAGTCGTTTATAAATTATGGGCTTACCCGTTGATAAATTCATATTGTGAGGCTTGTGGGGTTTGTAGAATTTCAATACTTTAAATAGCGAACTTATTTCAATCAGACGATCATTGGAAACCTAGAAATACTGGAAAATGTTTCGTCCAAGTATATGAATCCGCAGACTTAAATCTGGGGATCAAATCTAGGGACGATCCCGTGGTCATGAGTTCAGACGTTCACACGCGACCTTAGGTCGTAGGTTCGACTCGTCTATTGTCACTGCTGAGGTTGAAACCACTATCCTGTGTCGCCAGGTTTCCAGTAGTCGTTGGGAGTAAAAGGTCAATAGAGAAAGAGATAGGAGGTAAGGTGATGACTCTGGAAAAAAATGGAAGACCATGGTAGAAGTAGAGGCTGATCAGTTTTCTTTTTTTATATATGGTTCTTGTTTTGCAGATGAATTAGAAATGTTGAGGCAATGCTAGAAAAATGAAGGGTCACTATTTATCAGGTTTCTACTTATCTTGAAGACTACTTTGAACTCTGTATTTCTTTTACTGGGATAGCCTGTGTTCATAATGTGTTCAACTTTGGAACTTCTCATTAATTCATTTTCTACCCCCTTACAATCAAGCTGAATAATCTTCCTAAATTCTTTTGCATAGAACGCTCATTGAACAATCTGTATACCGAGCTCCGCAAGAACATATGAATTTAATAATTCACATAGAAGTGGTCAGATACGACAGCTTATCATTTAAGTAGTTCTTCAGCATAGGTCAGCTGCAGAATTTCTGATGGAGTTTTTTTCTCTGAGCTGGATGGTTTGGTTGTGGAGCTTTCATCGTTCTTTTTAACGACATCATCAGCGCAAACTTCGAGTAGAAGTGAGAAGGAGAAATTCAAACAATCCTTTTTTACGACCAAGCCATCCAGCTCAGAGAACAAAATTCCAACAAAATCATCCATCTGAGCTACAAATCTTCACCATAGCTACAGAACACTAATTTCAAGGCTTCCGTTAAGAATGTTTATCTGAGAGAGTCATGAATTCTTTACGTCAATATGTCTAAAGCTTTTATATCGAAATCAATGTCCACATAAAGGATCTTTTTGATGTGTAGCTTATTTGTAATTTTGAAGGTTGGATTTTTTATTTTTCGATACCCATTTCAATAAATATTTCTCTGCTGAGTTTCAATTCATTATCGGTGATACAGCGACTGCGAATTCTTCGTAACTGTGTGTATAGGGACATAATTAAATTTCTCTGTGTACTAATGAAGGCCCAACTGTCGAAGATTGGTAGATAGGCATTCAAAGATGGATAGCTGTAGTAACCTCTTGACAAGTACCATAATAGTTACATACTTATTTAGGCCTGTTACCCTTCATGGAGGAGCATAGGCCGATCATCAGCATTCTCCATCCAACACTGTCCTAGACAATACTTTCCAGTTGTTATTCATCCTATTCATATCTCCTTCCAATAACCGACACAGTGTGTTCTTTGGTCTTCCTCTTTTCCGTTTACCTTCACGATTCCAAGTTAGGGCTTGCCTCGTGATGCAGTTTGATGGTTTCTTCAATGTGTTTTCCATTCACTTCGAACATCTTTTCCGAATTTCCTCTTCAGCTCGAAGCTGGTTCATTTTCTCGCACAGTAGGTTGTTGCTGACGGTATCGGGTCAACGTACATTGAGTATCTTGAGTAGACAACTGTTTATAAATAGTTGTACTTTTTTGATAATGGTTGTAGTAGTTCTCTGCGTTTCAGCTCCGTACAGTAGAAGTGACTCGCTTGACGTTCTTATTGAAGATTGTGACTTTGATATTAGTTGACAGTTGTTTTGAGTTCCATATATTTCTCAAGTGTAAGAATGCGGTCCTTACTTTACATTTGCATCAGATCCTCCTAGTTCATCGATGATGCTGCTGACCAGGTACGTGAAACTTCTAACGTCCTCCAGAGATTGTCCACTGAGTGTGATTAGGTCGGTGTTCTCCATGTTATGATTGAGGATCTTGCCTTTTCTTTTGTTTATGTTGAGGCCTCCGGCTGCAGAGGCGGCTGATACACTAGCTGTCTTCATCTGTATTTGTTGATGTGTATAGAATAGAAGGGCGAGATCATCTGCGAATTCTGAATCATCTAGTTGAATCCGAATGTCTATTGTATTCCGTACTTCCCGTCAGATGTCATAGTCTTCATTATCCAGTCAATCACCAGAAGAAAGTGGAAAGGGCATAATAAGCAGCCTTTCCTGACACCGATCCTCATTTGTAATGCATCTGTCAGTTGTCCTCGACGCACGACTCTGCACTGTAGTCCGTCGTATGAGTTGTGGATAATGTAGACAGTGTTCTCATGAACTCCATAGTGTCGAAGAATTTACCATAATGTTCTCCTATCCACATTGTCGAATATTTTCTCACAATCAAGTAAATTGAAGTATGGTACCGAATTCCATTCAATTCGTTTTTCAAAGATGATTCGTAGTGTTGCGAATTGGTTTGTGCTCAACCGATCCTTACGGAGTCGGTATGTTGGTTTTGAAGTTGGGCGTTCACTGAACCTTTCATCCGGTTTAGAAACACTGTAATTCTCATACTTGCTCAGATCTTCTCTCTCTGGTATCTTGATGAGACATCCTTCTTTCCTGTCTGTCAGTGACACTTATTTTTCCTCTCGAATACAATGTGGAGCATGTTTGCAGATACTTCTATGTCTGACTTCAGTGCTCGAGCTGGTATATTGTCATGTCTTGATGCTTCCCCACTCTGCATTTGTTTGATGGCCATCTTCACTTATTCGATCGTTGATGGAGTGACATGAATTGCAAGGTCTGTGTGTGCTGCTTCGATATCCATGGATGCACTAGAGCTGGCTTATTCAAGAGTTGTTGAAAGTGTTCTGCCCATCTGTCCCTCTGCTCTTGAATCTCAATGATTTTCTCACCTTCTTTGTCCTTGATCGGTCTCTCTGGTTTATAATATTTCCTTACCAGTTTCTTCGTCGTGTCATATATTTATCTTATATTCTCTTTTATTAAAGCCCATCCACTGTCGTTGCAATCTCTTTCACGTATTTCTGCTTGTCAGCTCAAATTCTCTACTTCACTTATTTGTTTGCTTCTGTGTATTCAACTTGTGCCTTGACGTTCTCTGTTCTTGTTCGACTATTGTTAATTGCTGTTTTCTTGTTCTTTCTTTCTTGAAAATTGTTCAGGGTTCCCATGGAGATCCACTCATTTTGATGATACCACTTGCAGCTCAGCACCTCCTCACACGTTGAAATTGATGCTTCTTTGTCCCTTTCCAATTGTCCTGCAAAGTAATTTCTTCTTCTTTCAGTAGATCTTGTAAAGCTTGTAACATGTTGTTGAAAGTTATCTTGAATTTGTTGAGTTTGTTAGTATCTCTTAGGAAGGCTGTATTGAACCTTTGTACTGCTGTTTCGTCAGCTCTCGTTTCTTTCTCATAGTCAGTCCATGTCGTTCCATGATATCATCATACCCGGTGTTGTCCATTCCGACTTTGGCGTTTAGAACTCCCATCAGCATTGTCAGGTCGTTACGTGGGCACTTCTCTATGATCGGTTTCGGTCTATAGTAAAACTGATATTTATCGTTGCCATTGCTATCGTTAGTGGGTGCATAACATTGGATAACATTCATTGTGATCCTCTCCTTCTTTCTTTCAAATGATGCTTTGATGATCCTGGATCCATGAGATTCCAATCTTACAAGTGAATTACATGCTCCTTTGGACAGCATCAGGTCAACTCCCTGAGTATGCAGAGCATTTTCCTCTCCGTGACTGGCGTACAGCATCATCCTTCTTGAATCTATTCTCTTCTATCCAGTTTGGGTTCAATGGGTTTTTCTGATTCCGAGCACTGTCAAGTTGTATCTCCCCATTTCTGTTGCTATTTGAGTGATCCTCCCGGTCTCTAACAGTGTTCTGACATTCCATGTACCTATAAACTTTGTTTCTGTGATTGTGAGAATGAGCATCGTAATCGTGACTTCCGAAGAATTTCGGCATTCACCATGAGGCGTCATAAGTTTTCTTTCAACTTGGAGGACAGAGTGTAAGTTGTTTATTCCGATTAGCATTGTTTTAGCGAGGTTATTTACTACTGGACCAGGATGTTGAACCCACACGCAACCCACCTTTTATGTGTGGGCTTAAAATCTGCAAGCGGAATTAGTATAACAATACATTCCCTATAAATGAAAGTTGAAAATTTTATTTAAATTCATCTTAATGAACCGTATTTAGCTAGTAATACCTAAATCAACTCCTTAAGAGCGGCAGGTCATGTAACATGATTATTTCAACTCTCTATCCCCTATCTTGAAAAATAGGTTTTCCTGTATATAATGTATTTACGAGAGAGAAAAAAAACAATCCACAAACACTGAATTACACATCTCATGCACGTCAGCGTAAAAATACCATATTTATTTAGCTGCCATAATCAAATAAACCAAACAGATCTGTTTAGAGGAAAGAGAAAGACAAAAATAGTGTGAAACATAAAGACGATAGACAGGAGAAATACATCATGCTGACGTGTTTAAGTAATTGGCAGTTTGTAAACCGTGACTACATGTGCTAAGCACCAATG